GTCAGATGATAGATAGATAGATAGATAGATAGAAAGATAGATAGATAGAAATAGTCAGATGATAGATAGATAGATAGATAGATAGAAAGATAGATAGATAGAAATAGTCAGATGATAGATAGATAGATAGATAGATAGAAAGATAGATAGATAGAAATAGTCAGATGATAGATAGATAGATAGATAGATAGAAAGATAGATAGATAGAAATAGTCAGATGATAGATAGATAGATAGATAGATAGAAAGATAGATAGATAGAAATAGTCAGATGATAGATAGATAGATAGATAGATAGAAAGATAGATAGATAGAAATAGTCAGATGATAGATAGATAGATAGATAGATAGAAAGATAGATAGATAGAAATAGTCAGATGATAGATAGATAGATAGATAGATAGAAAGATAGATAGATAGAAATAGTCAGATGATAGATAGATAGATAGATAGATAGAAAGATAGATAGATAGAAATAGTCAGATGATAGATAGATAGATAGATAGATAGAAAGATAGATAGATAGAAATAGTCAGATGATAGATAGATAGATAGATAGATAGAAAGATAGATAGATAGAAATAGTCAGATGATAGATAGATAGATAGATAGATAGAAAGATAGATAGATAGAAATAGTCAGATGATAGATAGATAGATAGATAGATAGAAAGATAGATAGATAGAAATAGTCAGATGATAGATAGATAGATAGATAGATAGAAAGATAGATAGATAGAAATAGTCAGATGATAGATAGATAGATAGATAGATAGAAAGATAGATAGATAGAAATAGTCAGATGATAGATAGATAGATAGATAGATAGAAAGATAGATAGATAGAAATAGTCAGATGATAGATAGATAGATAGATAGATAGAAAGATAGATAGATAGAAATAGTCAGATGATAGATAGATAGATAGATAGATAGAAAGATAGATAGATAGAAATAGTCAGATGATAGATAGATAGATAGATAGATAGAAAGATAGATAGATAGAAATAGTCAGATGATAGATAGATAGATAGATAGATAGAAAGATAGATAGATAGAAATAGTCAGATGATAGATAGATAGATAGATAGATAGAAAGATAGATAGATAGAAATAGTCAGATGATAGATAGATAGATAGATAGATAGAAAGATAGATAGATAGAAATAGTCAGATGATAGATAGATAGATAGATAGATAGAAAGATAGATAGATAGAAATAGTCAGATGATAGATAGATAGATAGATAGATAGAAAGATAGATAGATAGAAATAGTCAGATGATAGATAGATAGATAGAAATAGTCAAATGATATATAGATAGATAGAAAGATAGATAGATAGATAGATAGATAGATAGATAGATAGATAGAAATAGTCAGATGATAGATATTGTGAGACAAAAATTGTGCGTTCAAGTCAAGTCGGAAAGACCGCATTTATGAGTTGAATGCACATGAACGCCACCACAAAGTCGTAATTATGAGTGGAAAACAGAATTTTCTTTAAACCCTGAGTTTCTCAGTTGGGGGCGTCAGAAAACATTTGGATGCAATGAATGCAGCAAAAACTAGATGCAGCGTCTGTTTGACAGAAAATATATTTTAAATAATTTTATTTAATATTTATTTTGGAATTGGCAATAAATCTAAGTTGCATCTACAAAATACAATAGCATTGAACAATTACGATAAAATAGGCCTATATAACTATTCAGTTTGCACCTTCATAAATTTAATAAAAACAAAATGATGCAGCTTCTTTATTCACCATTTTGTAGATGTAGAAAAGGTAGGCTATACCTCAATCTTGCTCCGACCGTAAGTGACTTGAGTGCTGACTTCATAATTACAAACTTCCTAGGTTGACTTGAATGCACCAAAAGTTGGAAACAAGCTTCCCACATAAAGCTTTTAATCCAATTTGTGAGTGGCGTACAATTATCATTCCAGAAATAAACTTGGTAGGCCTAAATATGAAGAAAAATACTTCTAGTTCATTTCTCCAATGGAAACGGTTTGCATTGCGGGATACAACATTAATCGCAGTATGAATGCTGTAGAAATACAAGTAATATTGAAGATTCCAAACACGGAATTCATTTCAGCCCAGAAATAATGAAACACGTAACACGTAACGTTCTACGTAACGCTGTTTTATTTGGCACAGAGGTTCATTACAACCGACCGAAGGAAAAAACTAAATATTTCAGCTGAGAAACTCACGATGACTGGCAGAGAATAAAACTATTGCGATCTGACGCGTCGCGAGTTTCATCCGCCGAATGTCGGTAACAGCAGGGTAAAGCTACAGGAGCGTTTGGTGCTGAGAAAAGAACAATCCTGAAGGTTAAAGCATCACTTCTCTCATTGGTACAAGCATTTAAAATCAGCATCTACTCGACTAGACAATTTCTCCTAAACAATAGACATGTTCAGCAATCAGTCACATATGAACATTTCATCAATCTGGAATATAAAAGAGTCCATTAGATCCAAAAGCAGCAAATTTCAGAGTCTGAGGTGCTCTCTTCAACATTAACGCTATAAAATCACGTCTGGAATGACTGTGAATCCTTAGAAACATGAGGAATTTAAAATTTTTTTTGCAATCAACAATCTACTCGTTTCAAACTCTCAAACTTCTAACATTTTAATTCTACAGAAAGAGAGAAGAAATGAAATTAAAAAGAATTAAACGCCAAATAAACCGAAACAAAAGAACGGCAACAGTATAACATTAAAGAACAATCGTACATCTATTTTGGCAACATTTCCCAAATCAAGCTGAAAAAGAACTTTTCATCCGTGGGAAAATAAATCGAGGTTCTACAAGAGAACAGACGTTTCTCCACTCGCTTTGTCTAAACAATTTGGCCTCAGTTTCTAATCTTGTTGTTTTATTTAATTTTTACATTTTGGTTTTGTTTTTCGTGTTTCAACAAGAATCAGAGTCCGAAAGGTTTAAAGACTTTCACGTGAATCCTAGAACGTGTTATTTTGGTAACTATTCCAACAGTGAAGAGTGTGTTAAACCGGTTAGTTAAGCACACAGACACACACATGAACACCATCTTCGGCTCCGGGCTCCTTCATGTGCTTTAGAAGAAGAAATACGAGGTATTTGGTCTCAACACTAACCCTATTTGGCAAGTTCAGCTTTAACACCACAAACAAAGAAGCAGGTCTTATTTTCGGGTTTAACATATGAAAATATATCCCAAATCTGCTAGTTATTATTATTATTAGTTATAATTTCTAGAATAGAATCTGTGTTTTTGAGGTAATCATCATCATCATCATGTTACGAGCTCGAGCTAATGAGTGCGTTTAGCTTTGGTTAATGGTCAGCTGGTCAGTTTTCTGGTTTAATCACCATCACGACTGACAGTAAACCAGGAAGACAACACATACAGCAAAAAATATATATATTATTTTCTGGCCATTTTAAATATATGTTGCAAACAGTGAAATATATTTTTGAAATTGAAACTATATTTAGTTTCAACCTTCATATTCCAATTTCAAAATGTATTTCAGGGGAAGAAAACATTCATTTAGGATGCAAACTTGGATGGAATGGCTTTGTCAAAACTTATTATAATGTGTAATTTTTTGTATTGTAAATTATGTTTCTTGCTGATTTTTCTTCAAATGTGACATCTGAATATATTTCCTTGGTTTGAAATATATGGAAGGCAAAATTTATAAATGCTTTAAATAAATATATTTTCAAAAATACCCGAAAAATGGCCAAAAAATATATTGAAATAAAATGTATTCATGTAAAAAAAAATTTTTTTTGCCAAATATATTTTTTGCCCATTTCTTGTATATTTCGACATATATTTTAAAATCAATATTTTTTGCCTTATGGAAAACAATTTGATAAATGACCGGAAAGGAAGCATCAGTGTGTTTGTGGAACATCCTGAAGAAAGAAAAGAGAAGCAGAAGTTCTTTGGACGTCCCTCAACTTTCACAGAAGCTTCTTCTCATCACAAAATCTGAGAAAGAGTCTCGTAAAACGTCAGCAGTCACAGCGGAGCTCAAACTCGTCGCCACCGGAGGTTCTGACGGACCCGAGAGGACCCGTTTGAAGACGCGTGTGGTTGAGGTAGAGTGTTTTTCCCAGCAGCAGCAGCAGACAGGCAGACGGAGGCACGGCTCTTTGGACCGAGAGAGTTTGGGTGGAGTGGGAGGGGCTTAAGGAAGGGGCGGGGCTTCAGCTGCACATACAGTGAATAATTAATGTCCAATCACACGACACGCACCCATCTAATACTATAACAGACTAACTTCATCTGTTCAGTCACATAGAACGTGTTTTTGGTTTAGCAGGATAAAGTTCAGTTTGTTATTCGTTAGTAATTAACAATATTTCATCAAATGAGTGTTTAAAACGGAGCTCTGTTCCAAACCTAGTAAGTTGCTTGCATAGACAGCACTTGAAGGCATCGCTAGCTGTATTAATCTGTAGACACCTATTGACCTCATTCTAAAACAGCATGCTTCTCAGGAGATAAGAATTCTCCTGCCAGGCTGTTATTGAAAATGAGAACTTCTTCTTAATGAACTTGCCTGGTTAAATAAAGGTTAAAAGAAAAGCATGCATCCTTTACATTCATGCATTTGGCAGACGCTTGTATATCTAATGAATTAAAGCTATACATTCCCTGGGAATCGAACCCACGACCTACTGCAATCCTGGAATGCACTGGGAAATAAGTAGAGGGAATTCTGACCATTTAACCCAGTTTATGTGTGTGTATTTATGCTAAATGTGAAACTCCGAAACAGTCCTGTGTGATGCTGCATGATGGTTAGGATGTTGTCTATGTAGGTCACTCAGGTTTGGAACAGATGCAGCGTGTCGTTTTGAATGCTGAACGTGTGTGTGTGTGTGTGTGTGTGTGTGTGTGAGAGCTGAGTTCAGTGTAAGGCTTCGGTGAGAGAGAAGCGCTCGCTGTACAGCTGAAGGGGCTGTGGGGGGGTAGAGGTGTCTCATCCAGTGCCAGAATCAGCCTGAGGTTCAATCATCACCTGACACTGAGGCTCCGCTGCAGCAGCCTGAGGAACACCAGGACAGTTCATTACAAATTATATATGATTATTCATTTATGACACATGAGTGCGTGTTTTATTCTCAAATGCTGGATGTATTATTTTATTCTAAAATGCATTTATTCTATAATGCTAAAAGTATTTTTAATTTATTCTAAAATGCTTAATGCAAAAGTATTATTTCTTCAATGTAAAATGCAATTATTCTACAATGCAAAATGTATTCTAAAATTCATTTTTTCTTTAATGCTAAAAGTATTGTTTTATTTTGAAATGCATTTATTCTATAATGCAAACAAAGTATTCTTATATGTATTTATTTTATAATGTTAAAAGTATTTATTTTAAAGTGCCGTTAATCTAATACTAAAAGTATTTGTTAAATTTATTCTAAAATGCTTCTTTCTTTCATGCAAAAGTATTATATCTTCATTCTAAAATGCAATTATTCTATAATGCAAAAATTAATTCTGAAAATCATTTTTTCTATAATGCTGAAAGTATAATACTTCTTTCTTTAATGCTAAAAGTATTGTTTTTATTTTGAAACTGATTTATTCTATAATGCAAAGAAATGTATTCTTAAATGTATTTATTGTATAATGCTAAAAGCATTTATTTCAAAGTGTTATTATTCTATAATGCTAAAAGTATTTGTTAAAGTTATTCTAAAATGCTTTTTTCTTTAATGTTATTTCTTCATTCTAAAATGCAATTATTCTACAATGCAAAAATGTATTCTAAAATGTATTTATTCTATAATGTTAAAATATATTTCATTTATTCTAAAATGTATTTTCTTTAATGCAAACATTTTTCTAAAATTCTAAAATGTAATTATTCTATAATGCAATAATGCATTCTAAAATCTATTTCATTTAACACTAAAAGTATTTTGTTTTTATTCTATAATGCTAAAAAATATTTATTCAAAGATGCATTTGTTCTATACTGCAAAAATATTTTTTTACTTATTCTAAAATGCATTTATTCTACAATGCTAAAATATATATATATTTTTTTTAAAGTCACTTTAATTAGCTTTACATATAAAAACAACAGAAGTCCATCATGACGTTCTCTGTGTGAATCTCCATGTCTCCAGGTCTGTATTGATGTGGGTGATGTTCACCTGTGTTGTGAGCTCGATAGCGTCGGCTGCTCGGATGCTGGCTTCTTTAGCTGCGGCGTCTCTCTGAGAAACACTCTGTCCTGCTGACAGACTCCAGTCACCCTGAGAACCCTTCTGACAGAAGAAGCTACACACACACACACAGAGTCAGAGCGATGTGTCTGATAATCGCAGTATGAGTGACGGTGAGAACGACAGACGCACCTGTGCCGATAGCCAAACATCAGGAAGAGAGCACAGAATATGATGCAGGCCATGCCGATGTGGATCCCGACCACCAGAGCCGTCATGGAGCCCTCGCTGTCCTGACGACAGTCACACACACTCTCACCCGCTGCTCACACACACACACACACACAAACACAAACAAACACACACACACACACACACGTATGAAACACACACATGAAGTCAGGTCAGGATTATTATAGTGAACTAAAACTGCAGTGTGTTCTGTTATAGAACATGTTTTTGCAATTGTGGAAAATGTAGTAGATCACCCAATAAATACAGGAACTTCACACAAAAGCAGAATGTGTATTTTGTGTAAAGCAGCTGATAATAAAGATCTGAGTAAAGGTGTTATGAAAGGATGTGTATTGTATGTGATTGTATTCACTGATGGTCTCTGTCTCCATCTAGTGTATATGACATCACACTGCAGACCACTGATGCTTTCAGTGTTAAACATGAACAGGGATTGATTGAATTGAACTTTCACTCAAAAGCTTTTTTTTTTTAGTTCGAGTCAAAATACTAGCCAAAAATATTAGAAATAAAGAAGATTATCGAAGTCACATCTTTGATTTAAATAGATCTATTCTGAAATCTGTTTGTGAATCATTGAATCCCTTTCAGTTAAATTATTGTTTGTGGACATGGTTTGCAGATGATGAATATGAAGCTTCACCTGCTGCCTCTTTCCCGCTCTTTTCAGTCTCAGCCAATGAGACGAGCCGTTTGTTGCCGATGCTGTCGCCATTTCCGTTGAAGGCCGTGAGCTGAATCTCATACACCGCTGACGCTTCTGCAGGAGAAACATACACTAACCTTTAGACTGGCACGTGTGTGTGTGTGTGTGTGTGTGTGTGTCTCTCTGTGTGTGTGTGTGTGTGTGTCTCTCTGTGTGTGTGTGTGTGTGTGTCTCTCTGTGTGTGTGTGTGTGTGTGTCTCTCTGTGTGTGTGTGTGTGTGTGTCTCTCTGTGTGTGTGTGTGTGTGTGTCTCTCTGTGTGTGTGTGTGTGTGTGTTTGTGTACTGACCCAGCTTAGAGATGGTGTGTGTGTTGATGTGAGCGGGGAATCGCTCCTCATGTCTGAACTCTTGCTGTGGCAGCTTGCGATGAGAGAGTCTGTATCCCTCCACTCGACCGGCTTTAGCTGTAAGCTCCCAGAACACCTGCATCGCTGTGCTGTTCAGAACCTTCGTGAAGAAGCTGGGCATCGTGGGAACTGGCACACAGACAGAGACAGATGGGTGAGATTAGTGACTAGTACACGTGTAGAATGATCATTACATTACCATTGTGTTTTGGACAACATTTAATACATATATTTAATATATATATTTTATCAGCCATGTAAGCATGTATACTCTTACCAGCTCCAAGTGTGGTGGTGATGACACTGTTGGATTGCTGACTGGCTCCCAGCGGTGAATACGCTTTCACATATATGGAGAAGGTGGTAGAGGCCTCCAGGTTCGTGAAGTCGTGCTGAAACGTGTCTTTGCTCACGGCTTCCTGAAGCTCGCTGCTGTCCGGCTCTGAAAGCACACAAACATCATTCAGTCAGTCTGGAGTCGGAGTCTGATTCCGATTTTGATTCCGAGTCTGATTCTGATTCCGAGTCTAATTCTGAGTCTAATTCTGAGTCTGATTCTGAGTCTGATTTCGAGTCTGATTCTGATTCCGATACTGAGTCTGATTCTGAGTCTGAATCTGATTCCGAGTCTGATTCCGATACTGAGTCTGATTCTGAGTCCGAATCTGAGTCTGATTCCGATTCTGAGTCTGATTTTGATTCCAAGTCTGATTCTGATTCTTATTTTGATTGAGTCTGATTCTGAGTCTGATTCTGAATCTGATTCTGAGTCCGATTCCGAGTCTGAATCTGATTCTGAGTCCGATTCCGAGTCTGATTCTGAGTCTGATTCCGAGTCTGATTTAGAGTCTGAAGGTCTTAGTGTGTCTCTGTCATCTCACCTCCCAGTTTGCGGATGTGCAGCACGTATCCGATGATGCCGTCCATCACGTGCCGCTCCGGCTGTGCCCAGCGCACCCGTAGGGAAGTGGTGGAGAGCGGCGTGACCGTCAAATCCTGAGGGGCTTCTGGGAGATCGGCGGACGGGGAGACGGCGAGACGAGCGCTGGCCTGGTTGGTTCCTGCGCTGTTCTCCGCGATGCACTGATAGATGGCCTCATCTTCAGCCGTGATGCGCGTCACTGCCAGCGTGCTGCAGATCAACACACATCATCATTTACACCAACATCTGATCAAAACTCAGTGTCACACACAATCTACTGCACATCTTCTGTCTCTGATTGATAGTTTAGAGTTTTTTATCCAGTAAAAGCTCTTTTAGTGTAATTGTACAAACGTCCAGCTTCAGCTCAAGCTCCTCGTGTCTTTCTGCTGTCAAATCTTGACTGATTTTTATCAAGTAAACGTCAGAATAACTGTAGTCCAGATGAACACTTACTGGACTGAAGCAGCTCAGCTTTACTTGATTCTCCATCAATCATGTTTTAGAGTCTCAAATCTGATCCTCAGGATCTTTTGAGGAGCGTTTGTTTCCAGAAGCTTTACTTTCACTGTTCCTCAGCGGAGGAATGATCTTCACAAGCCTCCAGAACATCTCACATCTTCTGAGGAGCCTTTATTTATTCAGCTCTCAATCACTGCATTATATGTTTATATGACATATATTATATGTCAAAAGAAGGTACAGCAGATGTGTTGTATGTGTTTGTCTCTGCTGTAGTCGCTGGCTTCTCTTCATCATGGAGCATCTTTTCTCCAGACTGGAAGAGGATTTGAGCTGCAGACTGAAATATACTGAGACCTGCTTCCACGCTTCTGATCTCAGAGATTCATCAGTCAAGACCGGAGGACACGTTAATGAGCGATGCTTTCAGCTGCTGGAATTTGACTCCAAATTTCAAAATGAAACTTTCGGTTGCCAAACACAAGAAGAGTTTCATAACCGCCAAAGAAACTGTGGAAGGATGACGTTTATATCACTGATGGCACTGCGTTCATTCACCCTAACCAACTCTAATTCCAGAACATTAACACTAATTACTAAAGTGCACAGACGACAGGTTTAGTGTTTAATTACTACTTCCTCACGCTTTCATTGATTTAATTGGTTAACGTTTGAAGCGTTTTTCATTACGGGTCTGAACTGAACAGAGTTTCACCAATTAGCTCATTTATTTTACACATTCACACTCATCCGAAACGAGCAGCGTGCTCCAGTTGTGCTGTTTTCAGAGGTGAATCTGAGGAAATGCACCCTGTCTTCAGTGTTTTGAAGTCTCCTGAAATGTCTGTTTAATCACGTTTTCTTCTGCAAAATGCATTTGTCCATCAATGATCTGTGAGGCTTTAGCTGATGTGTGTCTCTCGTGAGAATTTATTTGCATGCAGTTTGATTTTGCATTCATGCTAACGCTTCATTATCACTGACAGTAGTAATGATTTTAATGAGGGTGATCTAGCAAGGTCCTTTGTGTCTGAGGCACAATTGTTTCACATCAACAAGAACCTCGAATCACACTCCTTTCATGCACTCATACCTGGCTCTCTGTGTGTGTGTGTCTAGGGTGAGCAAAATTCAGAATTTCATAGTTTTCTCTCACAATGTTCTCTGTCTTCTTGGGTGTGAATGTGCATTGAAAATTCTTTATTTAAAATGGTAAGACAAAAAAAATTGCATTGCATTCACATTTTTCCTCGTTCAATGAGACAAACTTCCACCATTTCAATCTCATCTTACTAAGACATATTATTGGAGATATAGAATGACGACTGATATTTAGATCATTTTATGTCATCCGCTGTACTGTTATAAAGATCTCATTGATTTACATTACAAGCAGCAGAATTTCAGCATAGAAATATCAGAATCTGCAGCAAATTCATATTCTTGCTCAATTTGAGTCTCTCAACTATTCTCACTGTAACAGACTATATGAGCCTGATGGAGGAAATTTGATACTCAACATAAAACACATATGCAAACTTTGTCTTTATATTTTGTTTAAATATTCAATAAACTGTTCCAATTCAAAAAGTTAGATTATTATTATTTTATATGTCAGGCTTTAGGCTGGCCCTGACCTGTTGTTGTTGGAGAGTTTGACGTTGTCTCCAGGCGTGAGGATCTTGCCGTTCTTCAGCCAGATGAGGTGTGGATCAGGAACACCTTGAGCCTGGCAGGTGAAGACGGCACTGTTGCCCGCCGGCTTCGACACGGACTGAGGCCACTGCAGGAACTCCGGAGGAGCTGAACAACACAGAGAGAGAGAGTTCATAACATGTTCAAACTGACAGAGACCAGCTATTAACCATAATTCACATACTAGATCTACACAAGATGTTTTCAGCAAAATTTGTGTCCTAAGGGGTCCATTTAATTGTTTTTTTTTTACAAAATGTATTTTTATGGTTGTCAAAGTTGTGTATTTGCAAGATAATATAGTTTTTTTTTTCACATTTTCTGAATTTCATATTTCATTATTCTTTCTTTTTGAATTTTTTTCTTCTCATAATTTGTTACATTTTTCTAAAATAAGCAAATGTTTAATTGTATAATGTATAAACTTTATGTAGCCTATTTATATTATGCAATATTATGTAACTGTCCTGTAAATACGTGTATGCATGAACATCTTAGAGCAGTATTAAACAGTATTAACATTTGTTTTAGTATAAATACTGTATACACACACACACACACACACACTCACACTCTCACACACACACA